GGAAGATAAAATAAAAATGTACCCTAACCGTACAGGTTGGTAAAAGGAGAGAATGTTCTTACAGGCTTATAGTTCCTCTGTATAATTATAACTGTAGGAATGCCCTTTAGAACAGATAAATGCTATTCTCTATTTTCTTTATTGAATGATAATAAAGGTTTGATTATGTATAAAGTTTGCATTCTCTACTGATCTGGTTGGGAGAGAGAGAAGAGGTCCTGCTGGATGACAATAAACTGAGCCATTTCCTATTTCTTCTAAAATTCACCCACCCATGAATTAGAGACTGGTTAAGAAAAATGTTAGCCCTTAGATAACCATGTCTCAGAGACCAGAGACAGATGTCATACACTGCGTGGCCAGACATGCAGGTTGGAGGGATAAACCACTTTCCCTAACAACACAGCAGAACGTACAGAGAAAATCTCTGACACTCCTGGTGTCTGACACAATGACTCTCGTGAAACACGGGATTACTTCATTCCTTCCTGAGGGCTTCTACTTGCCAGTATCAGGTTGGTAAATTTATAAACAAGCTCCAGTTAAAAACTGATTTGGTGCCGGAAAAACACAAGATATTGGGAAGAAGTGGAGCTTGAACTGAGGTTTGCAAGGAGAACGGAGATATATGGAGTTACGCATCTTCCTCTCTATCACTGCAACTGTCTTAACTCCATCAAACTACTTCTATTTTCTTCTCTTCCCTTTCCTCTAAGCCACCTTGGCTTTGTGAAAAAAAGAAACAATTTAAAAGATTCTTTCAGTTCCTAGACACAGGCAGTGCTGGCCATGCTAACCCAACCATCAGTCTGAAGAGACAATAGGAACACTAGTTCTGTCTATGGTTATATTCTGAATGTGACGAAGTGAATTATGTACTTACGTATGACACACAGAGATACAAACTTTTCCAAGCAATCATGTCCCACAAACACTGATCAACAGACCCACTCTGTACTCTTCAAAGTTTAAGAATTGGTAGTTAGAAGGCTAATCTACCTTCCAATGGATTTATGATAGCTCAAGTCATAGAGTTTCATTGCTTGAGAACACTCACAAAGGAATTGTGATCATATTTTTCAAAAAAATTAGATTATTCACCATACCTAGTCACTGCCATTGCTACCCACCAGACAGCCACATCACATCCCCACAGGATTTTATGTTTTCATAAACCATGCACTTAGATGAGAGAAGATTAAAGCTGTTGGAGTTTCATATTTTATTCCAAGTCTGGGTCTTTGGCTCCTGATTTAAATTCTGACTTTTGCATCAAAACTGTTGAGTAAAGCTATGTTCATCTGACTGCTATTTCATAACTCAGTGTACGTCCGCCTTACAACATTTTCAAATGCTAAGGTTGTTTCTTTCCCTGATGAGGATTAAAATTTTCTCTCTAAAGAAATAGACCTAAAATCCTTCAGAGAAATACAGCATGCAAATATATCTATTTCATACATTTTTTTAATCAGAGGAGCAGTCAAAGCTATGATGTAGCTCACATATTTTGTTTAACAGTTTCTATTTTACAGCATATTTCTATATAGTTAACAATGAGACTTATGAATACAAGCTTAACTTCTGAAGTGGTGCCTAAATAACTTCTGTTCCTTTCCCTGTGCAGGTAAGAAATAGGAAGGCAGTTTTGGACTACAGAACATGTGCAACGTCACTGTTGGCTAAACTTTATGCTCTGTAGGATCAACTTGGTAAAATATCTCAAAATAGGAACAATAAAAGCCAAGTGGCATTTTCAATTCATTTATTAAAAATAAAACTTTTCATTTCTTCTTTCAATGATATAGATACTCAAAAAGTATGTTTAAATATACTCATCAGTGCACCTAACAAAGGGTAAGCGTGTATTATAGAAACCAGCCCCCAGATTAAGTATATATTTTGAAATGTATGTGAATGTGCATGACTTGAACCAATGAACTGTGGCCTGAAATGATGTCACAGAATGTGCAGCATTAAGTGGAAGGTTAAACCTACTTGCATCTCGGTTCATTAAACGCAGTTAAAGTGCAAATTCCCTCATTCTGACAGTAGTAATCACAAGGGTTCACTTTCTGGTCACAGCGCTGACTTTTAAACCCCACAGAGCATCTGCAGAATTTCAGTAAAATAGACCTATATAAATATTCTGCCTTTTGCTGAACAGATTTTAAACGCATTATATATAATGATGGCAAGACACACACACGTAGACAGGCACACACCCACAGATAACAAAATTAATACTCTGTTTTTCATGGGAGGTCCAATCTGACTATACTGAAAAATTTGCTCATCAGCGTTGATCAAACACTTTTAAAACAATGGGCCTGTACTAACTGATTGGTTCAGGAATCTAACATTCTCAACAAAGTAGTATTGTCAAATGTACTATATATTTGTATTGATCGATCCAGAGTGCAATGGCCTTAAAATGCTCACAACTGTTTTCTTAGCATTAACAGTGTTGGCATATGCTGCAGCATTTATGTATTGTAAATCCATACACAAATTAATGTATGATGAAACTTGTTTTCCTTGAGATGCTATGGTGTTCCATACGAATTTGAAAAAGAATAAGCCAGTTTTATAAGGAAAAAGAAAGGAGGAATCACAAGCTTCCAAAATAGCCATTCTAGGTGTTCAAGCAAATCATAGAATCATAGAATTGTTTAGGTTTGAAAGGACCTTTAAGATCATTGAGTCCAACGGTCAACTGCCAAGTCCACCACTAAACCATGTCCCCAAGCACCACATCTACACGTCTCAAATACCTCCAGGGATGGTGATTCAACCACCAAATGAATCACCAGACTTAATCTTCATATTTGGGCCTTACATGTTATAGCTCTGATATTCTCCTCTTGCTGAGTTTTATGAGTCTCTCTAGTCCTCAGCTAAAGACATTTAAGGAGATACAAATAACAGGTAAAAAGGGCCAGATCAAAATAATTACAAAAAAGAGACATAGGCACTTAAAGCATTTTCAGCTGAATAAGGACTACAGTGTGGAACTACATTCCGCTGTCTCTAACCTCAAAGCTGCAAACATCTATTGACAACTTTTCAATCGTACAGCAACTACCGTTTTGCCCCTTCGTCCGTCTCACACCAGTCAGACTACAAAATCTTGGCATTTCTCTGTGTAACTTCTTTGAGAGTCTGAATGCAACAGGCACCCTCCTTTAAGATCACCTGCCTCATACACATCAACAAAATGAAGGGACGGCTGTATCTGGATCTACAGAGGTGTAGTGCCAGATCCCTTTGGACCATAACTTACTTATGTCACCCTGGAAATGAGACACTCGAGTCCAATTCTCTCTTCCAACACCTCATATGTTCCTGGAGGATGCTCTGACATCCAGATTGCCCTGAGAAGGGGAAGACTACAAAGCTTTTCTGCAGTGCAGAAATATCGGATCATTTATTAGGCAACAGTAAAAAACCCAGGGTATGACTAGGTAGCTCAGTGTAACTGAGAGCAGGAAAGAAATTAATTTCTTGCTACCATGACTACTTCTGTATTTCATATTTAGCAACTGAAAAAGAAGATACACCATAGCTCTCAAGAAAGGACTGGAATGTAGGCTTTTCTGCCTCTTAAGACAGTACTTCACCATCTAGACTACAGAATCACATTTCCTTTGGTATTTGATGTCTGGGCTTAAGAAAAGCATCCTGAATTACTCTCTCAACAATGGTGCAGGAGGGACAGAGCAATCTCAGCACAGAACAGCCAAGCTACTGCGGGCAGTGTGAAGGTTAGGGCAGAAACAACAGATACACGAGCATATCCTCAGACCCAGAAAGGAAATAAACATTTACATTATTCCTCCTATTCTCTAGCCATCAGGTTCCTTATAGGAGTGTACTGCCCCCGCCTCTGTCCATCTTTACAGGAGAAAAGACTTAATCCACCTTTGAGAAGCAGGGTAGGCAACCATCCTGTATCTCTGGATTCCATTCTGGAACAAATGCCTAAACGGGCTTTAGATCTGGCCTGAAATTATTAGAAGTCTCAAAAGACATCTCTTTGGACCTATACACATTCACAATATATATCTTAGTTATATCTTTCAATACGCGTATTGCAAAAAGGTAGACAAAGCACCAAGTTACAGAAATAGCTAGAAAAAATACTGTAAATTCAGACTGCAACCAGCACATTATCCATCCTGGAGAGATCAAAAATACAGACACATGCATAACAACATTATCATCTGTCGGCACACAGATATTTTAATGACCTACACAATGCAGGATACTCACAGACAGACAGGTATATTTGTCTCTGGGTCCAGTTGACAGGTACCACCATTGTAACAGTAGCCATCACATAACTGACAGGTAGAGGCAACCTTTCCATTAGTGCAACTGTTGTGGTTAAAAAACCCCAAACAAATAGCAATCAGTATTTTACTAAATCTGGTGAATTCCCTTATAATTATCTATATATTAGAATGCTGATTTTACGATGTGGATAACATCTACTGATTGCAAGAATTCTAGGTTTCCACTTTGAAAAACTAGCCCAGGCAGCAAGCTTATTACACAAAATATTTTAATCTTTCCTTTCACGAAAGTAAACTATTATTACACAAAACAATCACGCAGCAATATAGCAGCACATCTTACTACATATGCTTTCATTAGTACATGATATGTCTCTATCACTGTCACAGATACTGCAGAATGAACAAATTTCAACAGTATGGTAAAACTCGACTGTTAACTCTATTAAATATTCCAATTTTTCCAACTGAAGACCCATTCAGTCTCCTGCTGCATTACGCTTCCCCCAGTGAGGAGTGCTCCAAAATTTGGTTTAAAAAGGCAGGAGCCAGCGGGGTTTGTGTGGGCAGGAGCCGTGCGAAGGAACTGTTCTGATGTGAGCAGTTCAGGGGCTAGCCACTGTGTAAGCGTTTTAAAGGATAATACAATATAATCGCTATTAAATATATAATTTTGAACACAATCACCCCTCCTACACACATACTTACTTGCATACTATGTCATTACTGTCCTTGTTTATTATGCAGTGTCCCCCATGACATCTGATACACTTGTCCACTTCACACTTTGGACCTTCAAATCGTACTGGACAGACACATTCCACGCTTCCATCATCAGAAATAGTACACGATTCAGAATTCACACAATAATGGTGGCAAACATCTGCAAGCGACATGAAAGCTAATTACTAAAAGAGACTAAGGAGTATCATAGAAAAAAATAATACCTTACTTTTCTGTTGTTTAAAACGTACTATAATAAAAACAAAATGATGAATGAACTTGGTGGCTCATTGGCAACTACAAGAATCAAGAATACCCCATAAACAGATACATAATACATTAACGATGTAGTCTTGGAAAGATAAACTCACAAGAGTTTTTTTTTTTTTCCTTCTAGATGTCTAACATTTATGGCATCATCCCACATCATATAAAGACTACTGATGAGAAAAGCAAAGCAATGTTAATGTATTTAATGGGACATTGGCTGAATAAAAATCTTCTGATACATTCACATCACCATTAACAGCATTATGCTAAACTGAAATGGAAATAGTATTTTGAAATAATTAAGTTTTATTTTCATTTATCCACATATTAAAATTTCATGAAGTTCTAATAATAATATATGAAGACATAATCCATAAGTTCTACAAAAAACTGCACACATGCTTATCTTTATAGACTGTGCAGGACTGAGATTTCAAGTAGTCAGTTCAAGTCAAGAATTCTTTAACTCTTTAGAAGCACCAGTAACTGTCTCATTTTTTTCATATCCCTTTAAAAACCCCAAGTTGCCTGACTGGAGGAGCTTCCAGAGCTACAAAATAATGGTATCTTAACATTCACGTTCATTTTTATTTATGTGGTAGTGACAACTTTCTTTTAGTTAGACAGGTATGGGGTTTTGTTGTTGTTGTTGTTAGTGGTGGGGTTTTTTTAAAGTTTTGTCATTTAAGCTTCTTAACTGAGTCAAAAAATTCAAAGTCTCTATTTCTCATAGCTTCTCCAGTTCTGTGTCGTTAACACGTTGCGCTGAGCTTTTGGTGGTGTTCCTGACGGACAGATAAAGTAATTGATATATAAGATGTATCGGTTCTCACCTATGCATCTGTATTAGCTTTGAGTTAACCTGCTCGTATTAATAAAATATTACCTTTCCATCAAATCTAAAAAATTTAAGCCCTCTGAAGCCCAGGATATGGCTAAGGGTGAGTCAGCGGCAGCTACGAGTCAGGCATTCCCAAGCTGTTCACTAGAGAACGAAACCTTGGCCAAATGCAACTTCAGCCTTGAGTCTGGAAGTGTAAACTCTCAGGCTGCCGTTTGACTGGGACATATTATAAGCAGCAAATTGGAGACTACTAAAATGCGTATGTTTTACTGAGTGGATTCAAGATGGATGATTTTTCAGAGTATCTCATAAAATGGGAAACATTTTGCTTATGCTTCCCTGTGCCCAATTTTTTCCCCTCTCAGAGCAGTGTGTATTTGGTACCCACCATGCTGGAAGAGCTCTGCTAAAGGACAAAGCTTGACTCTTGGAGGAGTCTTTCTGTTTGATTATTCACTGTACGTCTCCACCTATCCACACAGGCTGTAGACTCATCTGCTTGTGGAATCACTACTGAGCAACCAGAGAGGCTTAAAAGACACTCAGTGAAGTAGTTCATTGTTTTCCGTTCCTCGATTCAAGTTACAGAACGGCAATTTGCAGCAGGGGGGCTGTTTTTTGAACAAAAACTACAGTAGTTTGAAAGCTAATATTGAGAGACATTTATGAAAAAAACATTGCAAGGGGGAACTGTTTCCATGTACATTAGGATAAACCCCCCCCCCCAAATCTAAAACATAGGCACAGGGAGTTCATACTCTAAAACAATTATTGGTTTATAGCATTGACTGTAGTCATAAACACCTTTAATCTTCTGCTCTAAAATGCATATGCTACATTTGGACTGAAATGACACAAAAATAATTCTTTTTTTTTTTTAATTTTTCTTCCCCCTGAAGAAAGGAATTTCAGTTTCAGGGAAAGTAACAGCTTGTGAGATCACTATATCCACTTTGAATGATTGTAACTGCATGAAAACGTTTTCTATTTTTTTCGGTTGTTTGGGCCTTAAATGATACAAGAAATGAACTTTAACTAGTCTGTATGTCTTATTTCAGGATTTTAAAATAGGGAGTTATATTCAAATACATCAAATACATGTGTATATAATAACATGCACAATGTTAGTGGAATTCTATGTAAATTCATTCACTTAAATTTATTTCAGCAGTGCCAGTGCCTTGACACAGAGCACACATTTTGGTTATTAGCCCTTATGTGAACTAATCACAGGAGAAACTCTGCATTGGGTAATTGGAGACGATAAGTATGAGGAAAATAAGGTCTTTGCAATCTGGCAATACTGCAAGTAAATGTCTTCTCCCTGCCATAAAAAACACTAATAATATTTTCAGCTTGGGAGCATGAGTAAAATACCTATGCACATTCATGTATCATCCTTTGCATATGAACTAGTTTCAATCACATCACAGAAAGACTGAAAAAGATATCTTAGAGGCAACCAAACTTTGCAATAATGCTATATTCGTCTATTCCAACACGCATGCAAAGTGAATGCAATTAATAAAGCAAAAAAATCATACATATCTGTGAATAAAGAAAAAAATCATAGATGTGAATTTATATACACATTATTAAGGTAAACCTGTACAATTTCATAGATCTGTTATTGGCCACAAACAAAAAACTCTTAAAGATTGTAAGACTCTTTTTTTTTTAAAATTAAGGTTTAAATAAACAAAAGCTTAATTGTATTTTGTATTTTACAATGTGTTCGAGTTTCTCTATTGTGGCATTTTTCCAAAGTGTCAGCAGACAATCCAAATCTGATAATAAGCACTGTTTAAAAAGTACCCCAAATTTACATTTAAATTAATTCTTAAAAAAAAAAAAAAAAAAAGAAAAAAAAAAGGATGTTTGCAGAAGCATTCAACTAGAAACAATTTGTTTGGTTTTGGGTAAGCCTCAAGTAAATATTTTTTCTTAATCTGTGTGTCTGTCTGTGCATGATTTATGTACTATACTGTTTTCAAATACCCAATTGTGTTTGCAGATAGTTATTTGTGGATCCATGCAGTTTGTTTAATACCAAGTGGGAGAGAATCGCAATTACTGCTGGTTTTCCATTCAAAGGTTTCAATTTATTTC